CCCCTCAGACCCATTGTCTCCCTACCAGGCACACCTTCACACAAACTGGCCAAGGACCTACAACAAAGACTGAAACATTTAATCGATGGATCACCCCACTCCATCCACTCAACCCAAGAATTCCTCAACACCCTTGAACATAAAAATCAGCGACGACGAGATTTTGGTATCCTTTGATGTCACAGCATTTTTCATGCCAATTTGACAGCCCACGAGCCAAAGAAACATTGGTCACGTTACCAGAGGAAACAGGAACACAGACCAGCAGCTCCATCAGCAATGGCAACATACTCAAACTACTAGACTTGTGCCTCACCACACACTTCATCTTTAATGGTCATGTATGCAAACAGATCAATGACATTCCCATGGGATCACCCAATCTCAGGACTCATCACAGAGGCAGTCATGCAAAGACGAGAACATGCTACCCTCCCCCCTCATTCAACCTAAACTGTGGATCCCGTACGTGGATGACACATTTGTCATCATTAAATGCACCAAACTGGACGAAACCACTACCTCATAATCATTGCCGCGATTAAATTCGTGATAGAAGAAGAAAACAACAATTAGCTTCTGTTTCTGGATGTCAGAATTGAATGTATAACCAATGGGGAGTTCAAAACCCCTCTATACAGGAAAGCAACCCACACTGACCAAACCTTCAACTTCTACAGCAACCACTCCAACATCCACAAACAAAGTTGTGTTAGGACATGATTTAAATGGGCCACTCATTGCAACGTGCCAGAACTACGCAGGAAAGAGGAACAGCACCCATACGAAATCTTCACTATGAACGGATATCCCTGCAACTTCATCCGCAGGTGCCTACTAAATCGACAACAACAAGAGGACACAGTATGCCCTAACACAGTGGCCTCCACTGCCCTACATCAAGAACATATCGGAACTGACAATGAGACTCCTACAACCACTAGGAATCATGGTAGCACATAAGCCCACAGCCACGCTATGACAAACACTCACAAGGATTAAAGACCCTATTCCCAACTACTATGCAATGACTGCCACAAAACTTACATTGGGCAGACAGGAAGGAAACTAGCCATCAGAATACATGAACATCAGCTAACAGCAAAACGACACAACGAACTTTCCCTAATATCAGTGCACTCGGACAACGAAGGCCATCAGTTTGACTGGGACAAGGTAACCATAGTAGCCCAAGCCAAACATAGACACACACTGGAATTCCTAGAGGCACGGTTCTCCACCCATACTTAAATCAACAAACATACAGAATTGGGCCCCATATACAAACCCATACAGAACAAAACCGGAAATGACACCACTCCCCATAACAGACCGGACAGTATAAATTCCAAGCAAAGTAGAACGACATCGCTTCATCGGAGGCCTCACTGATGATGTTACCTATAAGATTTTGGAGTAGATCTGTAGCTCGAGTTGTGGGTGTTGAAGTTGGTTGGCTTGCCGAGCTGTTTTGTTGCTCCGCAGACGTTTCATTACTGTGCTGGGTAACATCCTCAGTACAGCCTCTGATGAAGCGTCGGTGTGTTTTCCCGCCTGGTTTTTAAACTCTGGGGTCCGTTGCGATGGATTGCCTCACTTCCGGGTTTCCTCCGTAGTGGAATGTATATGGGGTTGAGTTCAATTAATAGCCTGCTTCGTGGACTGCCATGCTTCCAGGAATTCTCATGCTTGTCTCTGCCTAGCCTGTCCCAGGATCTTGGTGTTGTCCCAGTCGAAGTCGTGGTCCTCCTTGTCCATGTGGATTGAGACGAGTGAGTATTGGTCGTGTATTTTTGTAGCCAGTTGGTGTTCATGTACTCTTGTTGTTAGTTTCCTTCTTGTTTGTCCGATGTAGTGTTTCTCGCAGTCTCTGCAGGGGATCTTGTAGATGACATTGGTCCTGTCCATGGTGGGGAGTAGGTCTTTAATTCGGGTGAGCACTTGTCGTAGGGTTGATGTGGGTTTGTATGCCACTCTGATGCCCAGCGGTCGTAGAAGTCTTGTGGTGAGTTCTGACGTGGTCCTGATGTAGGGTAGTGTGATGAGTGTGTCAGGGCGTGTAGAATCTTTCTGATGCTGTTCCTGTAGGCATCTCCTGACCCAGTTCTTTGGATATCCATTATCCTTGAACACTTGGAAGAGGTATTCCTCCTCCTCTTGTCGTAGTTCCATGTTGCTGCAGTGTGTTGTTGCCCTTTTAACTAGCATTCGCACGCATCTTCGTTTGTGTCTGCTGGGATGGTTACTATTGTAGTTCAACACCTGGTCTGTGTGTGTGGCTTTACGGTGTACTTTCTTTTGCAGTTCCCCATTTGTCTTGCGCTCTACCATGATGTCCAAGAATGGGAGTTGTTTGTTCTTCTCCTCCTCTCTGGTGAATTTTATTCCGGTGAGGGTGTTGTTTGAGTTTGTGTGTCTCTTCTAATTTGGTCCGTTTAATGATGACAAAGGTATCGTCTACATAGCGTATCCATAGTTTAGGTTGGATTTGCGGAAGGGCAGTCCTTTCCAGTCTTTGCATCACTGCTTCTGCCATGAGTCCGGAGATAGGCGATCCCATGGGTGTCCCGTTGATTTGCTCGTATGTTTGGCCGTTGAAGGTGAAGTAGGTGGTCAGGCATAGGTCCAGTAGTTTAAGCATGTTGTCCTTGGAGATGGTTTCGCTGGGGTCGTGTTCTTGTTCAAGTAGTGTTGTCATTGTTTCCCTTGCTAGTGGTATGTCTATTGACGTGAATAGGGCGGTGACATCAAACGATATCATGGTCACTTCGTCCTCTATCTTTATGTCTTTGATGGAGTTGAGGAATTTTTGGGCTGAGTGGATGGAATGGGGTGATTTGTTGACTAGGTGCTTGAGTCTTCTCTGTAGTTCTCTGGCTAATTTGTGCGACGGAGTGCCTAGTAGGGAGACTATGGGTCTGAGGGGGACTTCCGGCTTGTGCACTTTAGGGAGGCCGTAGAATCGGGGTGTGTTGTTTCCTTCGGGTTTCATTCTTAAGAAGTCTGCTTTGTTGATCTGTCCTGTTTGTTTAAGTCAGGAGATGCCTACAGGAACAGCATCAGAAAGATTCTACATGCCCTGACACACTCATCACACTACCCTACATCAGGAACACGTCAGAACTCGCCACAAGACTTCTACGACCGCTGGGCATCAGAGTGGCACACAAACCCACATCAACCCTACGACAAGTGCTCACCCGAACTAAAGACCCACTCCCCACCATGGACAGGACCAATGTCATCTACAAGATCCCCTGCAGAGACTGCGAGAAACACTACATCGGACAAACAGGAAGGAAACTAACAACAAGAGTACATGAACACCGACTGGCTACAAAAAGACACGACCAATACTCACTCGTCTCAATCCACGTGGACAAGGAGAACCACGACTTCAACTGGGACAACACCAAGATCCTGGGACAGGCTAGGCAGAGACAAGCATGAGAATTCCTGGAAGCATGGCAGTCCACGAAGCAGGCTATTAATGAACACATTGAACTCGACCCCATATACGTTCCACTTCGGCGGAAACCCGGAAGTGAGGCAATCCATCACAACATACCCCAGAGTTTAAAAACCAGGCGGGAAAACACACCGACGCTTCATCAGAGGCTGTACTGAGGATGTTACCTAGCACGGTAACGAAACGTCTGCGGAGCAACAAAACAGCTCAGCGAGCCAACCAACCTCAATGATGTTACCTAGCATGGTAATGAAACATCTGAACGAAAACAAGCCAGCTCGGCAAGCAAGTCAACCCGAGTTGATCCGAGCTACAAATCTTTGCAAAAACCTTAGGCTTTAGCCCTGTGTTTTGCATAAGGTGATTTGGGGTTCTGTCATCATTAAGAATGGAAGTAGTTGTGGAGACTATCATCTGTTTAGTTGTTTAATTGCCCATCACCATTCATGAGTGAATGTGGCAGGATTGCATTGGTTATAGCCATAACACGCTCATTCCACTATTTAGCACGTATACAATCCTGTGTGGTAGCTTAAGGAGGTTAACTTATTTTTAGATCTCCCTCATGGTAATGTGGTGAATATTTTGGGCCTTGAAGTCACTTGAATACAATTCTGCTAGTTTCCTACGATGTCTCATGAATACCCTGTTTTAAACTGCTAGGTCTGTTGAGAATCTATCCCATTTATGATGATATTGTCATACAACATGATTAGGGTATCATCAGTGTTCAGATAGGAACATTTCTCCAGTAGGAGTGTGTGATGGTTATTTCAGATATAATGGTCAGATACATCTGCACTGAATAGATTGGCAAGGATGAGGGTGAGTAGAGTTTTCCTTCTTGTTGGTACCCTCAACACTTGCTACAGAACAATCTGACACATTTTTAGGATGAGAGGTAATGGTGCTTCTGAGCCTCCTTGGTGATGTACATTTGTAGTGCCTCACCCACAATACATTCTGTGCCTTTTCTACTCTGCGTGCTTCCTCCAAGTGATTTTCAACAGTGAAGAGATTCATCAGCCAGGGTGGCACAGTATGTGTAATTAGCAGGAGGTTTCCTGGCCCATGTTTGATCTGATGCCATGAAACTTCATTATGTTTAGAGACAATATTGACTGCAAGTCATTCCCTTGTGGCTGTGTCCCATTCTGCTGTAACATGTGGTGGGTCTTCGTTGTCAGTTAGACAGGACTACCCAGAGATGGTGGTCATGTATCCAGGATATTTCCTGTAAGCTATGATTGGTGAATATGACTACGTCAAGCTGTTGTTTCAGTAGTCTGTGGGATAGCCCTCCCAACAAAGCCTAAGATGTTATTGTAGAAGACTTTGCAGTGATGACTTGGCTGCAGATACCATAGTTGTTGCCTGCGAGAATGTGACGAAGCCCAGCCTGGAGCTGCTACAGGCTGAGGCAATGGTAGACTCACAGTACCATTAGATAGGAAATTTCATGATTTTGATCTTAACAACATTGAAAGTAAATTATCCGGTTTTAATACTATTAAAATTTGGTTCTGATTAGGTCACAGAATGGTCATTAAAAATAAGAAAGGAAATGAGGGTGATTGACAGACAAATTAGAGGTAAGTAAAGATTTTCTATTTCCATTGTATGGTTCAGTTGAATGTTTTAGGGCAGTATACTGTATGAAGTTAAATCTATACATCTGGGTCTGGTCTTTTAATACAATGTTGTGTCTACAGTATTCCATAACATAATGGAGAGGTTTTCATTAGCAAAAACATCCAAGCAATGCAAATAGAATGTAGCTTTGAAATAACAAAGTGCTGGAGAAACCTCAAGACCAAAGAAGTAGGAACAGGAACAGGAGTAGGACGTTCAGCTTCTCGAGCCTGCTTCCCCATTCTGTAGGATCGTGACCGAACCAACATTCTTCACATCTACTTTCCTCCATTCCCCATAGCCCTTAGATTCCCAATTAACAGAGGAATTAAGCTATCACAGCCTAACTCAGCAAGTGTCTTAAAGAGTCATATTGGACTTGAAACATTAACGTATCTCTCTCCACCGCTGGGTTTCTGCAGCGCTTCATGTTTTTATTTCACATTTCATCATCTGCAGTATTTTGTTTTTTTTCTAGAATAAAACTTGCTTCTTACAAACTTTGACTGTGTTGGAAAGAGTTTTCACTTTTTTAAAAAGAAAGCTATTATAAACATTTTATTGTACGTTCATATGTTTTGATTCATCCAGGACAAAGCAGCCTGTTCGATTGGCACCACCTCCACAAACATGCACTCCCTCCACCACCAGCGCTCCATTACAGCAGTGCGTACAGTCTACAAGATGCTCTGCAGAAATTCACCGAAGATCTTTAGACAGCACCTTCCAAACCCATGGTCACTTTCATATAGAAGAACAAGGACAGCAGATACATGGGGACACCACAATTCCCTCCAAGCCTCTCACCATCCACACTTGGAAATATATCGCCGTTCCATCAGTGTCACTGGGTCAAAGTCATAGAATTTCCTCCCTAATGGCACTTACAGCAAATGGACTGCAGCGTTTCAAGAAGGCAACTCACCACCTCCTTCTCAAGGGCAACTATGGATGCTGGCCAGCAAGCGAGGCCTACATCCCATGAGTGAATAACAGAAGCATCAACCCTGCCATTATGCCATTATAATTTAATCCTCGGGGCAAATTCCTAATCAAGTATGGTGACAGTGTACTGTTTGAAAGAAGACTTCTATAATTAGGATGTTAACATAACACTCAAGCTTGTTTCTTCTATATATTTAATAAAGACAAAAATCATAGAATCCCTGTAGTGTGGAAGCAGGCCATTTGGCCCATTTGAGTCCACAGTGACCCTCCGAAGGACACCCACCCAGACCCATCCCCTACCCTATAAACCTGTATATCCCATGGCTAATCCACTTGACCGATACAGTCCTGGAAACTGTGGGCAATTTAGCGTGGCCAGTCCACCTAACCTGCATATCTTTGGACTGTGGGAGGAAACCACAGCACCTGGAGGAAGCCCAAGCAGGCACAGGGAGAATGTGCAAACTCCACACACAGTTATCTGAGGGTAGAATCGAACCTGGGTTTCTGGCACTGCGAGGCACTGATTAGCCACTGTTTGTGGCTTTTTCTTATAAATTGCGATTTATGTATTTAAATATGCATTTAATTAAAAAGCATCAAAGAGGTACAAAAATATAGAAAGAAAGCCTGCGAAAGAATATTATCAAGCTATCTCTAGTTCAAGGAAAAGCTCAGCAGGTCTGGCAGCACCTGTGAAGAAAAAAATCAGAGTTACTGTTTTGGGTCCGATGACCCTTCCTCAGAACAAGTTCAGCATCCGTAGTTTTTTTTGGTTTTTATATCTCTAGTTCATGATTTCCAGGTTTAGCAAAGATCAGCCTATATCTGCAGATTATCCTGAAACCCATCAATCAGTTATCTTTGTTTGGTGAGAGACCAGCCATTTTAGTTACCTAAACTATCATAGATCACTCCATAATCGTGAGGGCAATTTAGTTAGTCTGAACTAGTGCAAATTTTGTAAGAAGGTGATAATGCCTTTCTCGTTGTGTGTTATAGACTAAAAAGGTCATCAGTTTATTCATTGGCTTGCCCTGAGTTAGTGAGTCTCAGCTAGGATGGTTACAGGAGTTAATGCAGTTTCTTTTTGAAGCTCCTGGTCAGCAATGGAGAAAGGTAAAAAGGTAAACTTGCCATGGTTCTAGTAGGGATAACACAGTGTGGAGCTTGAGGAACACAGCAGGTCAGGCAGCATACTAGGGCTGTGCTCTCATTAAAGAGAAATGACTGCTTTAGCCTGAGACAATGGTGAGAGTTTGAAGAGAATCCTTCACAGTAACCTCAGCCAATGCAGGCATTGATCCGTTCTGTTGGCATCACTGTACATTGCAAACCAGCCATCCAGTCAACTGAGCTAACCAACCAGTGGTTAGCAACAGAGAAACAATAGTATAAGTTGTCTATTCTTGATTGCTGTCCACTGACCCTTGTTGGAATTGCATTTGTATGGTTCACAATATGCTCTGAGGTTGCGTGTTGTTTCCCCATACCTTTTAGTCAGTTTTGCATATTCTTTTAATTTTTGTTCCTCTTAATTTTGCAAACTTTTTTTTTGAAAGAAACTAATGATTATTTTTTCCTCATTAACCTTTTACAAGTTTCATGTGTTTTTTTTTAGGTAGAATGACTAAGCTCTTAAAAAATGCCATTATACAGGCCATGCTAGAGTTTTTCTAAATAACAAGGTCACGTGTTTAAATCTCATTTCAGAATAATAGTTTGTAATCTAGGCTGGCAATTTTGCATTGTACTGAGGGCGCACTGTTTTCTTGACAGTGCCTTGAAATCCATTGATACATTCAGATGTATGTTACCAACTCTATTAATTTATTTAAAAGAAAATTATTTAAATACATTATTTAAAGAAAAAAGCATTCTGATGTTCATGCCAACATTCTTTTTTCAAGGAAAATCATTCATCTCTTTGATAATGGGATCATTTGTGCAAAACGTGTACCGGCTTCACTGCTCTTCAAATAACTTTCTGGAACCTTTTGAGGCAGCCTAAACAACATGATTTTTTTAAGCATTTCTTCATAATATGTCACTAACACTGGCTAGACTAGCATTTTCTGCCCATCCCAAATTGGTGGTGAGCTGACTACTTGAACTGCTGCAGTCCGTAGCGATATTTTAGTGAAGGTAAGGCATTAAATAAGTAAAGCGCTGTAGATATGTTTTTTTTTTAAATCCTTTCTTATCTCTGTTAGATATTCAAAGAGAAGAGGAAAAAGTAAAGCGATCTGTGAAAGATGCTGCAAAGAAAGGCCAAAGGGATGTGTGCACTATATTAGCAAAAGAAATTGTGCATTCAAGAAAGGCCGTGGGAAAGCTGTATGCATCAAAAGCTCAAATGAACTCTGTCCTTATGAGCATGAAGAACCAGCTAGGTAAGTGGTTATTATTGTCCCTCCAATTTCAGAAAATGCAATAACCAACATCTTAAATACTTGTGATGACTGCTGTAAACCCATTTTGATCAACTTAAGACTCGCAGAAGTAAAGCAATGAGCTGAGGGTGCTGATTGACATGTGACAACATTGGTATCATGAGGTCATATTGAGGAAGGGGCAAGACTGAAATCACAATATTCTAGGGTATAAAATCTTCAGGTGGGGCATAAAGAGGTGGTGGTGTGGCAGTATTGATCGAGGAGTCAGTTGCTGCAATTAGGAGGGATATCTTGGAAGGGCTTCTCAATTGAGGCCATACAGGTGAAACTTAAAAATGAAAAGAAAGCAATCACATTTGAAGTGTACTATAGACTCCAAACAGTCAGGATGTGATAGAAGGGGAGAAATGTAGGGATAGACAAGTGTGAAAGTTTTAGGGGGGTGGAGGTATCAATGGGAGAGTATTTTGGTGATAGTGATCATAAATCAGTAGGAACTAAGATAGCCAGGGAAAAGGACAAAGATAGACCAGATATAAATATTTTGAATTGAGGAAAGGCAAATTTTAATACGATAAGATCTAGCCAAAGTGGACTGTGCTTATAGAAAAATCTACATCAATCAATCAATGGGAGTCTTTCAAAAAAAAGTACAAGGCTAATATCTTTGTGTTAACATGAAGACTAGGACAAAAGATTCTAGAAAGCCTGAGATGTTGAATATACAGGATTTGACAAACGAGAAAAGCATATCGTAATACCAAGGGCTCAGAACACCAGAAGCCCTGGAGGTATATAGGAAGTGTAGCTGCTAACTTTAAAAAATAAACTAGGAAAGCTAAAAGGGGGCATGAAAAGACACTATAAATGGCAAAATAAATAAAAATCTGAAGACATTTTATAAGTATATTAGGTGCAAGAGGATAACTAGGGAAAAAATTGGGCCCATTAGGAACTTAAGTGGCAAACTGCGGGTGGAGCTGAAAGACTAAGGTGAGGTTTTAAATGAGTGCTTTTACATCTGTATCCATGATAGAGAAGAATGATGACGGTGTAGAAATCGGGAAAGATGTATGATGTACTTGAGTAAATTACAATTGAGAAAGAGGAAACATTAGCAGTTTTAGTGTACTTAAAATTGGCTATGTTCCCAGGTGCAAATGACATGCAACCCAGGCTGCTGTGGGAGACTAGGGAAGAGGGGAGATAGCAGGGGCCCTGAAATTAATTTTCAAATTTTCCCTGGACACAGCAGAGGTGCCAGAGGACTGGAGGACAGCTAATGTGATACAATTATTCAAGAATGGTGGTAGGGATAAACCAGGAAACTAGAGACTAGTGAATCCAACATTTGTGGTAGAGAAACAACTGGGAAAAATGCTGAGGGATAGAATTAATTCCACTTGGAGAAGCAAGGATTACTCAAGAATAATCAGCATGGCTTTGATTTGAGGGGGGGTGGAAATCACATTTGACAGATTAGATTGATTTTTCAGGTGACTAGATGTGTGCATGAGGGTAATGCAATGGATGTAGTCTACATGGAGTTTGGTAAGGCTTTTGAGAAGGTCTTGCATGGGATACCAGTCATGAAGGTGGATACAAAATTGGCTTTGTGGCAGCAGGCAGAGGGCAATGATTGTAGGTTGCTTGTGTGATTGGAAGCCTGAGTGCAGTGGTATTCCATTGGGTTTGGTGCTGTGTCCCTTGTACGCACATGAGACAAAAATTGTCGGAGTGGTCAATGAAAGCCAAGATGATGGACAGTATAGATGGGTTGTTCAGTGGGCAAAACAATGGCAAATGAACTTTAATCCTGAAAAATTTCAGGTGATGTAATTGGGAAAAATAATGAGGTAAAGGAGTACATGATGAATGGTAGGACCCCAGGATGTACAGAGGATCAGAGGGTTCTTGGTGTGCATGTCTACAGATCTTTGAGAACCACAGGACAAATTGATAAGATGCTTAAGAAGGCATACATGATATTTGTTGCCACATAGCCTGCCATTACACACCCACTGTTGTTAGTCACTAACAGTCCCCATTAACAACTATTCACCCTCCCAGCCTGATCATTAGCAACTCCTTTGTCTGTCCAACTGTCTTTCTCTCTTTGGGCTCTATCCTATCGTTTACTCCCTACCCCACCCACCTCCCTATTTTCTGCATATAAACTGACGTTTTCCCAGCCACCATCAGTTCTGAGAAAGGGTCACCGGACCTGAAACGTTCACTCTGTTTTTTCCTTCACAGATGCTGCCAGACCTGCTGAGCTTTTCCAGCAACTTTGTCTTTGTTCCTGATTTACAGCATCCACAGTTCTTTTGGTTTTTATTACATGATATTTGTCTTTATTGGTCAAGGAATTGAATGCAAGAGCAGAAAGGTTAACTATGGAGTGGTGTAAGATGTTAGTTAGGTTACAACTGGATTACTGTGTGTGGTTTTGGTTGCCATACCAAAGGACAGATGTGATTGCATTAGAGAGGGTACAGAGTGGATTTACCAGTGTGTAACTTGGCTGGAGCATAATAGCACACAAGGCTATGGGCCAAATTCCAATTAAGCTGGATTAGACATTGGCTATTAAATTCTCCCACAAAACTTTATTTTTAATACTTTCACAATAGCTGTAGTTCAATCCTTTCATTGGAAAAAAATACATATATGTTTGAGCAGTTTAGAAGTTATGATTTAAGGTTTCATTTGCTGCTTACAATTTTGGCCCTGGTTTCAAATAAGGGCCTCTAGGCATTCCAAAGTTATCAAGAAATGGTAATGAAATATCAAATGACCTTTATTTTGAAATGTAATGAAAATATTCAAGATAGCCGAGGTTTGTGTTTTTTTTAACTCTACTCACAGTTTTTGAATTATAGTAAAGAGTATGTTCATTTCAAATCATTTAAGTGGAGCGACAGATTTATGCAGCTTTCATCTTGATTGCAAATTCACCTTCTCATAATTACTGGATTTTTGTATAAAGTAGATGATGCTGTTACGTTATGGTTTGCTAAAAGAAATGAAAGTCCATGAATACGGGCAATGTATTCTAGTCCTAAGGCTTTAACAGCATTGTTCACTAAATAGTGGGCAGGGAGTTCAATATCACAAAATACAGAACAATTTTTTCCAAATATGTTATTTGATAGTGAAAGTTCCAAGAAAAAGAATCCCTTGAGAGTTTAAATGAATAAAAGGGCTGAAATACTCCTAAGCAGGAATGTAACATAGTCTAACTGCCCATATGCATAGCACATGTGATTTAGAATTGCTACCAACATCCATGTGCCACCTCAAATGGTTTCAAATATATCCTATGATGGAAGTGTGGAGTGTTTTATAAGTTGTTATTGATGGGTTTTTTTAAAAAATGCTTTAGTTCCATTCAATATAACTTGTTTTTTAAGCAACTGCCTTCCAGTATTTCCTAATCACCTACACGAGCTTTGCTGCCAGGTGATGATCTAACTATGTATCCTGACAGCAGTATATATCTCATGTATGATGTTTTGCTTTGGGGAGCATACTTTACAAACGGGCATTACACGGTTTCACAACAGATGAGCTATTCCCACCCGCTCTTTGACCGAAGCATAATATCATTTAAAATCTGTAGTTAAAACAAGCTGTGACAAATGTACCAACGAGATCTCGTTGAATGGTGCAGTAGATGGTGGGCAGAATGAGCTAGTTCTACTCCTCTATTAGTTCTAGAGGAGGTGGTTACTCTATCAACTAGGAGAAGGTGTTTCTCAGAACTTGGGATGGGACAGTGTCTGTGTGAAGAGGAGAGTACCCATTCAAATATGTTTTGAGAATAATAATCTGGTCAGTTAATTGTGGTTAAATCCAAATGTCACAGTTATTACTTAAAATTTAGTTTTCAAAAATATTTAACCAGAGTAAATGCATTTTAATGCTAAAAAACACGTTAGCAAAGATATCCTGCTCTAGGAATCCTCGAGGAAATGTAAGTGACTCGAACACAGTATAGGGAAGGACTGTGCATCATTTCACGTTTGCTGTCTGCAGCTCTAATGATGATGCAGTATGTAAATTGTCATTCCAAGAAAGGTACATCATATCTACACAGTGACAACATATATAAAAATACAAAACAAGATGAAGCAAGTGACAGTTGGAAAGTGCATCTTCAGTTTTTTTCCACCCAAAATTACGCACTCAATTATCCACATAGAACAGAGCCTATTTGATACAACAAGGTGCAGGGCTGGATGAACACAGCAGGCCAAGCAGCATCATAGGAGCCTATTTGATGTTTGGTTACCAAAGTACAACGTCAGCAACAGTGCTTCACACTTTGTCTCTCCTCCTTCACAGTTTTATCTTGCATGCTCAGATTCCTTAACATGCCCATCCTTATGCCCCTTGCCAAGTATGACACGCATCACAAATCCACATTACAAGATCATTAAAAATGTCTTTACTGAAATAAGCTTAGCCAAATTCTTCAAGCACATTTTGTACTCCTTTGCTGTTAAATCTAAGAGCTTCAACACATTTGGGCCTCTAGTTCATGTAAATCATTTGAATGTAAGCATTACAGTAATTACTATTTCTGGAGATTTTCTGTTTAAAATGTTGGAGCCCTGATTTTTTTTGTTTAGAAGCCATCATGAAATGGTCATAAAAGTGCAATATTGTTAACTGAAGACTATAACTTCTCATCCTCACCCTTTCTTCACAGCTGTAGCAAGAGTCACTGGTTCCTTGGAGAAGAGCACAGAGGTGATGAAAGCCATGCAGAGTTTAGTAAAACTCCCTGAAATTCAAGCCACCATGAGAGAACTGTCCAAAGAAATGATGAAGGTGAGACAAAACGCAGGCCGTAGCCTTTAGAATTGTAGTTCTATAGGACAGTTACATTTTATGTTGAACCTGAAACGTATATGCTGTGTTATTGTTGTAAAAATACAGTCCATCCATTTTAGAAAGAATATGTATCAGGACCAACTCTAATTATCAGCTCATGTAATTCCACTGAGAATCAGGAGATAATGATCATCGGTTCCTGCCTGAGAGCTGTGGAAAGTGAGGCCTCTTCTACAGTTTCACTTGCTGAAATCAAACCTGTGACCTAATTGGCTTGACAAGTTCATGCTGGGCTGGATTTCTTCAGTATCTCTCTCTCTCATAATGATATTCTCAGTAAAAGTTTACCAACCCTATGAACAGGTGTAGTATACTAGATTGGAGGATGTATCCATAAATTGCTGAGATTGAATATAGTATCATCTTGTCCCCAAGATCAGATAGTATCACAGCTGCTTGGTCAATCAACTTAACAAGCAAAAAAAAATAAAAATCTGCTGGAAATCTGAACCGGAATGTAAAACATAAACACTGAACAGACTAGTCACACAGAATCTTTGTACAGAGCTGATGAGATATTTCAGTTGTACATGCTTTGTAAGAACTGAATGCGATGAGAGTTTCTTGTACTTTGTATTTCTTTTCTTATTATTTCTTTTCTTATTGCTGTTTCAAATTATTTCATAGATTAGTAAAATGATTTGTATTTCTGACAAGGCAATGCTATTAGTAGTATTGTCTATAATCAGAATTGTTACAGCACAGAAGAGGCCCATTGGGACTTCACCTGCTCTCAAAATGAGCATTATGACATAGTACATTTTCTCCATACCTCTGCACGTTATTTGAATATAAATGATCATTTAATGCCCTTTTGAAAGCCATGATTGAACCTGCCTCCATGACCCTTTTTCAGACAGTGCATTCCAGATACTTTTACAAGTGAGAGCAGTTTCTTGGTATATATTCTGTTCAGCAACATTCCCTCTAAGTTGTGCGGCTTATCGCTGATCATGGCATTGACTTAGTTCTGGAAGTCGCTGCCGCACAAGGGCCTCGAAGACCCGCACAGCCAGAACGAAAATTAGAGTGAATGCTGCTGTCCAGCTCCTCAGGGATTTGAAAAGTCTTATCAAAATTCCTCTTAGCCTTCTCCCATCTAAGAAGGAAAGTTCCAACTTGGCCATCTGTCTTGTAAATGAAGTTTCTCATTCTTAGAACCATTCTTGTAAACCCGTTCTGTACTCTCTCTGATATGTTCATATCCATTATAGGATTAACTACTTTATGCATTCTACACTATCTTGTGTTCACAGGCAGGGATTATTGAGGAGATGCTAGAGGATACTTTTGAAAGCATGGAGGATGAGGAAGAAATGGAAGAAGCAGCAGAGATGGAAATTGACAAAATACTTTTTGAGGTTACTGCAGGTAAACTAAGGCCACCATGTTTTTAAAATTTTTTATAATACTGAATCTCTCTTAGAATTTTTATCAGTGTCATTCCCAAAAATCAAATCTCTGCTAGTAAATTTTTGGGATGAAAAAGCTTTTTTTTTTCCAGTCTCCATCTCCACTATTGCCAATATGTAATATACATTGCCCTTTAATGGGAAGGAGGAGCGCTTAAGGGACAAGTTAGTAAGAAGAAATGGAGCTTTCAAGTAAAATTCAGTTGAGAATATACTTAATATATTAAGGTACAAAGTTAAAGAAAATCTGACTCTGGGTTGCCTAATTTTGGACTTAATGATTGTCAACTGGCTGTTGAGCTGACATCCACGTCAAAGCAGCCAGCTAGATTGACACCCATATAACACTTTCAACATAAAAGTCACTCCACCACTGACCAGCTGTGGCAGCAGTGTGCTTAATCCACAAGATGCACTGCAGCACCTCACCAAGCTCGTTAGACTGCATTTTCTAAACTGCAACCTCTAACATCTAGAAAGACAAAGGCAGCAGGTACTACAGGTTCCTGTCCAATCCACACACCAAAAAACATTCATGGAATATGGATATTCCTTCACTTCACTGGGTTGAAATTCTGGAACTTCCTCTCCAACTGCAATGTGGGTTCACTTGCACCATTTGGGGTGCAGCACTTCAAGATGGAAGCTCACCATCACCTTTTGAGGGAATATGCAATAAATATCAACCCATCCAGCGTATCCACATCCTGTGAACATTGTTTTAAAATTAGTGGGAAATGCATTTAAAGTTGGGATTTCAATGTAGATTTCCGAAATTTAGTAATATCCCTAACAGCTAGCCCCCATTAGGGGAGGCACTCGCCTAGTGATATTACTGCTGAACTGTTAATCCAGACACCCAGTTAATGTTGTGGGGACTTGGATTTGAAACTCGCCATGGCAGATAGTGAAATTTGAATTCAATTTAAAAAAAAATCATCTGGAATTAAGAGTCTAATGGTGACCATGAATCCATTGTCGATTGTTGGGGGGAGAAAACCCATTTGGTTCACTAATGTCCTGTAAGGAAGGAAAGTGCCATCTGACCTGGTTTGGCCTACTTATGACTCCACAGCAATGTGGTTGACTCTTAACTGTGTCTGGGCAATTAGCAGTGGACAATAAATGCTGACTTAGCCAGTGATGCCCACATCCCATGATTGAATTTTAAAAAAATCAGCATCTAGGACTGGCTACTGAAATGTGTTGAGTAACTCTGGAAACGTTATGCATTATTAGATTTCTGCAGAAATGCAGTCTGATAGCAATGGAAAGAGGATGAGTTTGCCTGCACTACTACTATTTCTGAATACACAATAATAGAAGGGCAGTATTTGCTTTTGACATGAAAATACAAAATGCTGAAAATGGACAGAGAAATAGTTCATGTTTCAGGTCAATGACCTTTCATTTGACTTGAACTTTTGACTAGAAACATACAAAATAGGAACAGGAGTAGGCCAGAGCCTGCTCTGCCATTCAGTATGATCGTGCCTGGTCTTCTGCCTTGGTTCCCTGTTCCCACCTTCTCTCCATACTTGTTGATCTTTAAAGCCCTAAGATCGTATCTAACTCTCTCTTGAAAGCAAGAGGCTGGAATTGCACACAATACACTAGCAACAAAAATAGAGATTGTTGGAAAAGCTCAGCAGGTCTGGCAGCATCTGTGGAGAGAAATCAGAGTTAATGTTTCGGGTCAAATGACCCTTCCTCAGAACAGTAAACAAACCTGAACTCTAAGCTCCTGTACAGTTCAGCAAGATATTCCTGCTCCTGTACTTGAGTTCGCTGGCTACGAAGGCTAACATGCTATTTGCCGCCTTCACCACCAGGTACACCTGCATGCTTACTTTCAGCATTGGTGTACCAAGGACTCATTGCACCCCCGCCTTTCCTAATCTATTGCCATTCAGATAATAATCTGCCTTTGTGGTTCACTACCAAAGTGGATAACTTCATATTTGTTCACATTAACTTAGTTTTCTTATCTTTCATCTGCTAAGCATTTGCCCACTCACTCAACTTCTCCGCATCACAATGAAGTATCACTTCATCCTCCACCCAGCTTTGTGTCATCTACAAGTTTGGCGATGTTACACTTAATTTCCTCATGTTTTGTTGCATTTGTTTTTCGCAGGTGCTCTTGGGAAAGCTCCCAGCAAAGTCACAGATGCTCTCCCAGAGGCAGAGCTTGAAGGGGCTACTGCTGCATCTGATGAGGGTGAAGCAGAGGAAGATATTGAAGAGATGCAGTCACGGCTGGCTGCCCTTCGGAGTTGAACTTTGTAAATAACTTGGTTGTACAGTTTCTCCTTTTACAATTTTACTCCAATAACATAACTAAGTTGCACTTAATGGATATCCCTTCTCCTTTCTGGTCAATGTAATTTTGTTTCTCCAAATAGTAAACGTTTCCTTCTTAATGAAAGGTAAATGCTGTTAAATTTGTACAGATGGAAAGGTTTCCTAAGAAAAACAAAAATTGCACTTGTGAATGTTATTTCTTTGTTAAATCAGCATTGTCTCGTCAACATACTTTGCTCAGCTTTCCATTCAGTGTAATGATTTCAGTACTTTAATATTAATTTCTTACTGTTTCAAGTGTACTTCCCAGGCATGCAATTAAGTTTGGGGTCCCTGCTCCTGTAACTTGAATAATGATTGTGAAGGACATACAGTTGAGGCATGTTTTTATCTTATCCTTTCATCATTTGGGATAGAGACATTAGCTATCTGTTTGTTTATACTTCAGGTTTTTTTACATGGATAGAGTACATAAAGACACTTTGTTCACGTGGCCTTAATTGTAGCAATGGATAGTCCATAAGCGTTTCAAAATAAACGCTTTTGAACGATGGTGCAAAATTCAATGATGGTTGCTTGGGGGATATAAAAGTCTGGCAGCTTATATAGTCCTTCATATAAGTGTTCTGTTACTTAAAGCAAGTTTTCTTATAAATCGTGGGCAGCTAATTTTTAGTGTTGCCACCTTTGGCTTTATCACAAGTGTGAAGACATCTAGAGATTTTGAATTATTTTGAGAATTTTTTGCCATAGCCTTTAACACTGTTGACTTGAGAATGTCAAATAATCCCAAATAGTAGTGCAAATGATTCCGACAATCTGAATTTAAAAACAATAAGCTAGATAAGCTCAGCCTCTTTAGGGAGAAAAACAGTTGATGTTTCAGCTCTGAGACTTTTCATCACAAAAATTTGAATTAGAAGATGGCTTATCACCGGTATAACACTAAAATCTCATTGCTGAGCAACACTATCTATTTGCATTTAAAATGTTTTTGCTTTCTCCACTAGTCGTGGAACCTTTTAATTTTCTTGTGCAGGCATACGTTAAATTAATGGTGCCAACTTGTGGAACCTTGCAAGTTGTTGCAAGGTTGTGCAGCTTGAAAAGAATATTGGTTGTAGAGAGCATCTTTATTGATCTCTCCATCACAAGACACTGACAAGTGCACTTGTGGCTTGTTCAGCTTGAGGAACGAAAGCAAGTGAAAACCCTGATGCACTTGGAGCCTTTGATGTTGGGGCATCTAATTTTACAATCCGTTAAATACTTGGAGTAGTCACTTATTACAATGTAGGAATTACAGTGGCACTATACTTGGGCTACAATACAATACAGCAACTTTAAGCAGAATTTGACTATTTTACTTTGATATATATTTATGAATAGATTGTGGTTTTTGGATTTGATTTAGCAGATTGTAGAAACACTCCTGAATGACACAATACTCAAAACTGAACAGGAATCTGGGTTCCAGACGTATGCTGTATTTGAAGTAATAAATTCAGTTGGTTATTGCTGTCCCTAATACATCATCCTCAATAGACCCGTGTCACAACCAGCTTTTTTCATGTTGAAGTAATACTGAAGCAGGATTGACTGCAGTGATACTCGTTTGTTGGGCATTTATAAATTGTTGAGGTGGTCATACTGGACTTATAATATTGCAATTTCACACTAACATCAAATTATGCAGTATCTTGATCTATAAACATTTAAGAATAGAGGTACAGGAATAAGGAACATGCCCATGATTTAGTTCATCACTGCCCAAAAATAGTTGAGATTCATGGGATCTGTACTTCTTACTGAAACTTTGTATTGTAAAAATCACCTCAACCATCTTAATAAATTTTTTATACAAATTTTAAATTTATTGCAGTGCTAATGGAAAACATTATACCACTTGACAGCTTCTGTCCTGCCTCATGGACAGATGAGTGCGAAACGTGCATAAATGTACTCCAGTTCCAAGATCAATGTAATGCTAGAGTGGAGAATTAATGAGAATCTTTCTTCTGCATGAAATGAGACCGTACATGGCCACTTGTCGTACTGAATTTTTTTCCCCCTTAAACTTCAGATGACCTTTGTACTGCCCTCCAGACTGTGCATTTATTTTCCCCAGTTGATATCGATGTCGGCAGACTTCCCTACGGAATCTAAAATACCCTATTCTTCATCCTGTGCAGTGGGCTAAACTGAAGGAAAATTATAGTTGTTTCAAGTTGCAACATTATGGTGCAAGGACGAAGAAGACAATACAAAGACAGTTCGTTCCACTCTGGTAGGAAGAGCACAAACATGGTACATTGCTTGAGTCATGAATGATTGCAAAACTCTGTACTGCAGAGAGATCTGTGGCCTGGTATTCACTACAACACATGATTAGGGAAAAAGTGACTGGAACATTGTTTAGTGCAAGGAGAATGAGGAAGTTGCTACAATTGTATAAGGTATGGTATTAAAGAAGCTGCATCTGGAATACTGTGTAAAGTTTTGATCTCTGCATGAGAAACAATATAATATCTTTACAAATATGAAGAAGGTTCACTACTTGATTCCTTCAATAGGAGTTAGCTTATGAGGAAGGTTTGGGTCTATACAGAAGAGTGTTTAACAGAATGAGGCAAGCTGATTGAAGCATACAAGATTCTGAAGAACTGGATAGGGTGGATGCTGGACAAATGTCTTTCCTGGAAGAAATTAGAACTAGGGAATTTACAAAGAAGAGCTCCCTACTGGCGATGAAAACTCTACTCTCCTTCCTCAGGGTTGTTTGTCTGTGGAATTCAAGTGAGAAGACAGGATCGCTGCTCCTTATCTCAAAATAGAAACTCTTGTGGTACAGGATATGGGAAATGTAATTGGATTGGTTATCCAGAGGCCCAGGCTCTGGGGACAGTGGTTCAGATATCATCATAGTAGATGGTGAAGTACAAATCTGATACTTCAAAAAAAAAAAAAAACACCAGCCTGCTGGTATCACGTAACCAATCAGATTTTCCAATACCTTTTAGGGAAGGAAATCTGCCATCCTTATCTGGACTGACTGAAGTGTGACTCCAGACTCCAAGCAATGTGGTTGAATCTTAATTGCCCTCAAATAGGAGTGTGAATTATAAAAGGGCAACAACTACCAGCCATTCCCACCTCCCATGCAAGAATTTTTTTAAAAAAGCAACTGACACAGCAAAAAAAGGGAGGGATTAATGGATTGGAAGAACTAGAAATGTCCAGCAGAAGTATCACCTTCTGTTTTCCTAAAAAGGAAACAATCATTATGATCACAAATTATTGAACTCTATTATAAGAGTCTCAGTTTGTAAAATAGATCTGAAGACAAGAGTCTGCTACCTTTGACAGCCTCTCTCACTGGATTGCAGACCTTCCCTTGAGCTCTACCAAAGCCAGGACTGTTAGAACTTCTGCCAGCAATTCCAGAGGGTGAGAAGCCCTGTCATTGAAAGGCATGTTCCATTCTGCACTAAATCAGCCTGGTCAGCAGCATTTAGCTCACTACAGGCTTTTCTTCCAGGAAGGAAGTCATCCGCTCCTTCTAGCTCAGGAAGTTAGGTAGTGACAGTTACAGATTTGAGGATGGATGTGGTCATAAGGAACGTGTAGATAAAGGATAAAATGTTAGATTGAAGGCTGTGTGCCAGTAGGTGAGTGAGGAGTCAAATGAAATAGAACATAACAGCGCAGTACAGGCCCATTGACCTGTGAAACCAATCTGAAGCCCATCTAACCTAAACTATTCCATTATCATCCATATGTTTATCCAGTGACCATTTAAATGCCCTTAAAGTTGGCAAGTCTACTACTTTTGCAGGCAGGGTATTCCATGCCCTTACTACTCTGAGTAAAGAAATGGGCAAGGATAGTGACAGGATTTATGATATTTTTTTTTAAAAAGCTGGAAGACAGGTAGGTCTAACTAACGCTCCATATAGCCGAAACAACTTCCAACATATTGGGATAAGACCCACTATTGCTAACCTTTTTGATTACTACTTGTACTTGTGAACTAGCTATTAGCAGTCCGTGCACATGGACATCCAAAGCCCTTTGCTTTACCATAGTTTCCAGTCTCACAATTAAGGAAGGTGGGGATGACTGCACTTTATATCGAAATTCATCTGTCATGAGTTTAATTTACTGAGTTGGCTGAGCTCCATGTACTGGTGTTTCCACATCACCATGTCAAGGGAAAAAAAATCACAAATAGCATTAGGTCTTGTAGTTTTATACTGCATCAAATGCAAACGAGACTTGGTCAAGCTCTCCCACCACACCACTAAGTTGTTGTTACCAGGTAAACTTCAAACCAGTTTCCTTATAAATCAGTGCTTCATACATGGAAACAGATATCCAAAAATGAGACTAAGAAGTTGGATCTTAATACAAATATTAAAGCCAACTTCATCAAAATAAATTGAGCTTACACCAAATTTCAAGAACATGTTGATATATTGTGTAAAAATCACATTATCTGGGTGTACAAATACCACTGCAATCTGTAAACAATTCTACTGATCAACTTGTCATCTTCCAGATCTCAAACTTCAGTCACACTATTTAAACCACACAAAAAAATAAATGTACAAAAACAAATCAACATGATACATGAAACATTCGAGTGTAGGTCCTGAGTAATCCAAAGTTACAGAAGGTAAAGGAAATGCCAAGCATTTTAAGATTTATAAAAAGCAGCTCTCAACTTTACAGCCACAATTACATGCTGGAGATAAACTAAAAGCTTTTGCTTAGTTGAACAGTGGCTGTATATAAGACAAAGAAAAGTTGCTTTCAAGTTAGTATTTTTAACAATCAAGTCAGGATGAAAATTACAACTCAGTACTACCAACTTCAACCATACAGCCAAAACACAGTTTGAAGATTAGTTTGGACCCTTGATTTACAATGAGGTAAATTTAGGAAAAAGAACTCTTTCATACAGTGCTGGTTTCTCCAACAATGCAACTTCCTTATATAGTGTAATGTGTTACATTATTTGGTGAGAACTACTAGTAGAAACTTACCATAACAAATAGGGCAGCATATACTGTCTCCATGTAGAATACACACCCACACAGACTAGCTTATTTCTTAATAAGCTTTGAAGTTTGGCAACAAAAAAAAAACAGATCAGTAGTCACATCAAAATTAGTGAATCCCATGTTTTGTAGGTGATAGGACATAAGACATGCCTCCCCACAGATCAAATAAGGTAAATTTATCTGCTCCATTGATGTATATTTAATTGTGATGTGGAGGTGCCAGTGTTGTAATTAGCACTGTGCGGAATGTCCCTCATGTACTGCACAATAAAGTTAAATCCCAAAACCGTATATCTTTAATTCTTGGCTGATTGGACCCATTGGTTTAGCAACATTTATTCAGAAAGGGACCTCCACCCAAAGTACCTCAGAAAGAACTGAAATATTTACACAAAGTGGAAGCAGAACATTTGATAAAGTAATGAAAAAATAGCATCTTCTATTCCGATCTGGGTATTGACATCAGAACTCAGAAACTAAATATTTGTGGTGAAATTTGTGCATCATTGATTAACCATGTGAAAAAGGAGGAGCAAAGAGATTATATTTACAAAGGATTTGGTTAGTTTTTAGCAGTGTCCAACGTGGAAAATGGAAATTTGTCTTCCCAACAGGTACACGTGAGTAAGATTTGAGTCACTGGCAATGGCATCCTCAACTAATTTATAAAGCTACACTGTGTATGGATTCTCTTCATTGTTTGCTGTTTCTGCAGAAGGTGCAGCAAGTAAAATTTTAATTCGAAAGTATGTCTTGAGACAGCTTGATTTCAGTAACATCTCTTTGAGAAAGAAAAGAGAATAAATTATAATAGTGGGAGACAGAATGCAACTAATTTTGTACTAAACACAATAAGATGGGAGAAAAAGGAGGAACTAAAATTTACTGGCTATAAACACATGCAGAATTGTACAGACTATTGACATTTCTTGGCTGTACAAAATTAAGACAAGGTGAAGTAGAGATTTGTGTTAGGTTTCTTTCCTCATCACATTTACTATCAAAGTTCATTGCAAAAATGTCAGTTTGCCTCTGCGGACAGGGGTTATTCTTTCTTTTAAAAGGATGCCACTAACATTACAGTGCAGATCTTCCAGGAAAACCCAGCTCCCTTTTGGGGCTTCAGATTGAAGTCTTGAGAAGGCTGGATTCATGAGCTTTCAACATCGAAACAGCATCCTTCACTGCATGGTAGATGATATTCTTCACCTACACAAAATAGAATCATAAATATATTACAGAACTCTTAGTACGGTTATTTATTTCAGTACCCAAAGATATACATTGTTAAGTTGTGACCCAAATAATCAGGTTTGGAACTAAATTTAGCATTTAATTCAAGTGATTTGGATAGATGGAATCTTGGGCTCAACACTTCTTTTAAAACTCACTCATTCATGGGATGAGGGTGTTGCTGGCTAGGCCAGTATTTATTGCTCATCCCCAATTGCCCAGAAGGCATTTAAGAGTCAACCACATTGCTGTGGGTCTGGTATCACATGTAGGCCAGACCAGGTAAGGATTGCAGTTTCCTTCCCTAAAGCACATAAGTGAACCAGATGGGATTTTCCCAACAATTGGCAATGGATTCACGGTCATCATTAGACTCTTAATTCTAGATTTTTTAAAACTGAATTCTGCCTTGGTGGGATTTTAACCTGGGTCCCCAGAACATTATCTGGGTCTCAGGATTAAAAGTCCAGTGATATTACCATTAGACTATCACCTCACTTGTTTGAAAGAAAACAGCATGTTCATGAGGAGACAACAAAGAATTCAAATAACAAAATTCCCTTATTCAGCATCTCT